TTGGATGTGGTTGGAAATATAAAGTGGAGGAAATAAGGCGCAGTGTACACGGTCTCTCTATCGTATGCGAATCTATTATATATCATCAATATTTAATATTGTATTTTAAAGTACTTTCGTAAAGTCGTCAGTAGTAAAGAAGGCATACGTAATTATGACATGTCTGTTTGACATACAAATATATACACATAAATAAAATGACATACAATTACATACATATTAGAAAAACTCTTTTTAACAATTTTTAGGTCAACAAAACATACGTTTACATAACATATGTCGTTGATAGGTGCATTTTTTATTTATTATACATTATGTTAGTCTAGTGCGGTGTTCGATTTTAATATTGAAAAAAAATTTTGGGGTGGACCACCCTTAACATTTAGGGGGATGAGAAATAGATGTTGTCTGATTCTCCACCTTGACCGCTATGCACACAAAAATCGGTCGAGCCGTTTTGGAGGAGTTCAATTACAATTTTACATATTAGATTACGTTTTGGCGTCGAAGTGTATTTTTAAGGAAGGTGATAAATATGAACGGCACCGCACAAGGCCTTTTAATTTTATTTTAGTAAGTAAGTACAACTGCTTAAATTAATCGATTTCAATGCAAGACCTTATCAAAAATTAATAAATGGAAAAATTTCTTTTGCGTCTACGATGTTGCATTATAACGCACTCTGGTCCTGCGTGAATAAAGAGGTCAAGGCGAATCAACTTATCTGTTGGTTCCAGAATGTTATGACTTTCAAACTCAATTTAACTAAGCTAATAATCTGTATTCAGTATTTACGGTGGTAGGGCCACGTAGCAGCCTCGGCTGTAAACTTAACATTAGGTGAACCGTCTGCTCGTTTGACAACTTTGCGCATAAAAAAATGTATCCATATATCTGATTCAAATTAAATGATTTTAGTGAATACCGCCGCCCATGGACATCTGATACACCCGAGGGTTACAGATGCGTTGACAACCTTTTGAAAATTGGGCTCCGGCTACCTCACTCACCAGATGAAACGCGAAAGTATTTGTCATACTTACACTTTACGCTGGTCTTCTGTGAGGTCGTGGTACTTACCCGGACGGGCCTGCCCGTTCGTGCAACAGCTGAGGCTGCTGCGTGGCCCTACCATCGTAAAAAATATAATTCTATAATATCTCTTAGTTTCTTCTTTTGAAAATATTATTTTGCTTAGAACCACAAAGTCTGCACTTAAATTGAACTTGATCAAGAAAACTAATCTCAAAGTTTCTTCATTATGTGAATGGGCGAAATGTAACAGCGTAAAAATATTCTATTATAATACAAAAAGTATTCTATTATATCTTAAAAGTGTACAATGTGACGCTTATTTTGATTTGGGCAAGAAAATTTCATTTTAAAAGTGTCTAATGATTGCTTTGGATAACTTAACATTATATAACTTCGAACACATGAGTTTAAAATTTGAAATTCCCCGCGACAAGGAATAAAAGCCCGCTACTAAGATCCATCCGTCTTGCTCTCATCTCTTTCGCACGTAGCAATTGATGCAGTAATATCCGACTGTGACGTATTTCTGTCAGACACCCGCATCTGCGCAATTCGTCACAAATTTATCTCCTGATATCGTATGCACTCCTAGTACTGCAGCATCTTAAAAAACTCAACTTCTTCTAGAAACCTTCTTTACGTGAGGATGAGTCAACTTGAACTGCTTGAAATATGGTCATAAATATGGTAATAAATATTAGGTCATCCTGAGAAGGCACAGAAAGCAGGGTTTTTTATTCATTGCTAGCTGAACCGGTGTGGGCCGGTCGTACTACCTAACAAGACAATGAATTTCGTGTTACTTTTAGCTTAACTTTTTTACGCTTTCATGAACATAAAAATTGAGTTTTAATTTGTTTACAAAAAGAAACGTCATTTCACTAGTATACTTTTCTTTAAAGATGAGTAATTTTTTTTTTCACTTTCATTGTTAGGTTAGGTTATATTTTTTTATGTGAAGAAGTTGTCAAGCGAGCAGACGGTTCACCTGATGTTAAGTGAATACCGCCGCCCATGGACATATGCTACACCTGAGGGTTCCAAATGCGTTGACAACCTTTTGAAAATTGGGCTCCGGCCGCCTCACTCGCCAGACGAAACGCGAAAGTATTATACTTCCACTTTACGCCGGTCTTCTCTGAGGTCGTGGTACTTACCCGGACGAGCCTGCCCTTTCCTGCAACAGTCGAGGCTGGTGCGGGGCCCTACCACCGTATAGTAATTAAAAAAAATATTGAAAGGATAGTATGTATTTCATTATTTATGTCTGTGGTAGTTTTTATTTTTTTTTTACATTTGTCACGATATTGAACATATTTTTACACAGCTATTACAGGTGTGTACATACATAATTAGGTTCAATGTTTATTCCTCTTTTGTAAGTTGTATAAATATGTATATACTATTGGTGTGTATTAAAACAAAATAAAAAACTATGTTTAGTAATTTATTATGATAATGCAGTAAATGAATAAAAATACCAAAAATCAAGTATTTTAAAAATGAATTAGCAACACATGATTAAATTATTAAACTATGTATTGTGCAACAGGGGATGCAGTCGGGTTAATTCTCTTCATTAAAGCACCTTGTGATATGCGCCATTTTTTGGTTATCAGATGCAAAAACAAATAAAGCGGTTGGTCTGTCGACACGAGAAAAACATGAATTTTCTAGATTGCGACAACAAACAGTACAGGATTGGATGTGTGATTTGTTAATGGTGACGGCTGGACTAATTGGCAATTAAATTCATTTAAAGTCAGAGTATACTTGAGTACATTTCGGAGATACAGAGTAGACATATTCGTGGGCATCATCTGAATCTTCAATATGCGTAATTTTGGCTAGGTTTGGTTAGTTTAGATTTCGAAGCATGGTTAGCGAGCTAACCTTCAGTTGTAAATTGTGCGGTGGTAAACCAGGCTCATCCGAGGAATTCAAACATTCATTAGTGGCGTCTTCATCGTTTTTTACACAGTCATTTAATATGAATGAATACAAGAATACCAACGATTTGATTCCAAATTATAAAGTTTAAGACATCCACTTCTTAATTTTTAGCCTCAAAACTGCTCGCTCACTCGAAAATTTGTTAGTTTTGTGCTCAAAATTAATGTCCTGGATTATTTTATTGATGAGCACGTCTTTCTATGAAACGAAATTGCAAAAATTGGGGGAAATTAAATAAATCCTCTCGATTGGTTGACACGAACACGGTCATTACCGATAGTCGGCTATTGCTTGGAGAAATCTTCAACAGACGGATCAGCAAGCAATGCGATGCAACACTCATGTTTACTGCTAGTTGAAGATTCTTCACACATGTATGCTTCTTTACACGTGATGTATTTGATGCTACAAGCTCAACTTACTTCAAGCTTTGAGGCAAGCGTTTACTTCGGTGGCAGCAGTCGATCTTGGAATGACTGGAGGTGTTTGGCAGACATCGCCTAATAGTAAAATCATTGGGTCACCAAACTATCTCGAGTCATTGCGCAGTACTTTACGATGTTTGGTTGAGTGATTTCAATGCTTGTGCGCCATTGTTTATTCATCCCAGATGATTTTTAGGGCTACTTGTGCCATTTTAACGCTGAATGAGCCATGGGATGTCCGTCTAACAATGCCGCTAACAAAGCAATTTCGTAGGAGGGTTCCGCAGGGATCAATTCTTTGGCCTAGAAATATTGCTGAAACCGACAGTCTCATCGGCTAATCCACGGTGTGGGTCCAGCTGCTGCCGCGAAGATCTCTGCGGTGCTGATCGGAAGTGGGGTATGTTCGGGATCTGCGGTGGCTGTCCGCAGTAGCACGTTCTTTTGTTCCGAATAGCTGGGCCACGTTTTCGGTCAACGCTCCGTTGACCGAAAACCGCTGCCTCACTAACTAATAATTTGTTTATGGCCACCATGAGTTTCCTGAAAGCGAAACTCAATCACTGTGCCAGAGCCCAGAACCTCCTGCTCAAAGCATGGCACAGTGGTATGTAGCTCAAGTGGCTGTGGTGTAAGAGCCGTATTTCGTTTCCCATGGTGAAACCTGGGCTGGGGATCACTCCGACAATGCGACGGTGGTCTAAAGAACCACTGCAAGTTCTCTTCCTCTCAGAAACACGAGAAAAGAGCCAGTTTTCGTGGCAGCTCCGTCGGGAGAGGTTTTTGTCAACTCAGTGTACTTCTCTCCAAACAAAATGCTAATCGAGTTCGAGAATTACCTAGACCGACTGGGGTCAATAATCCGGCATAGGGATTCAAATGCCGGATTATTGACCCCAGTCAGTCCGTAGAGTAGACCTCTGCTAATTGCTGGAGAATTCAATGAAAAGTCTGCGGCGTGGACATCACATATAACTGATAGGCGTGGTAGCGTGCTGAAGGAATGGCTCTTGGAGTTTGGGATGTCTATCCTAAACCAGGGCTCAGAGAACACGTGCTTTAGGTCGCGGGTTTTATTTACTTTGTTCTTTTTTTAAAAACATTGCCCTTACCTTAGGATAACATTATCCTGTGTTGTAAGGACTTTTAAGAAACATAAATTTCACGTGGACAAACACCCAGATTCGAAACAACTATCTGTGGATCACACAACCGTTCCGTGTGGGGATCGAACCCACGACCCCCGACACAAAAAACAATACGTTGGCAACTGCGCTACGGAGCCATCAAATTGTGGACGTTTGTTCGCAAACCTTGACGTGTGGCTGGAAAGTAGTCGTTAGATACTCTATCGGATCAACGCTATATGCAATTCGACATCTCCATCTTAACAGATCCATTGACCCAAGATGGCGGCGTCCTGGAACGCTCGTTCCGGAGAATTCCCCTGAGCCTAAGTTGAGGGCGATATTTACTGTCTGTCAGGCCCAAGCCATAGTTCCACAGAAGTGGAAGACAGGCAAACCCGTCCGCATTTAGAAGGAAGGACGTCTCACTGACTCCGCCTATCGGCCGATTATACTACTATTTGAAGCCGAAGCAATGCTCGGTTGTGTACGAGGTGAATAGAGGGTCAGGCGAATGATTGGGAGACTGGCCGGCGCGATTAAGAGGTCTCGCAAGCTGTTGCGATTTCGGCACCGCTCTAGAAACGAGCTTATTGTGTATCGTTCCATTCTCGGCCTGGGCCCAGGTCCAGGGCGCGATAAGTTGTTCAACATGTGTACACTTACGCTGCCCCATACTGGGAGCTCTCAGAGCGCATTCCTGAGAGCATTCAAAATTAGATTCCTAAACCGAACTTCTATATTTATTCGAAAAAAGCAATTAAATTTCTCAATTATAACAGGAGAGACTTCGATGTACGCTGATTGGTGTTTACACAACACTTTAAATGCGGCACAACAACTGAAGAACCTCGTACGTGTTGCGATTGTAGTGCGCGTAAGAAAAATAGTCTTCTCTTTGATGCGGACGGCGTTATTTCAATTCTATCTAACATTTGATAGAGTCGCATATATATTTGGAATGTTCTATTGAACCACAGTGTTTTGGTATACTCACCTCAATACGGGGTTTTTGAGACAGTGCTACACTACAAAAAATAAAATTTATTATATTGCGGTGATACTGAGCCGTGATAGCTAAGTGTCCGGGCGCTCGCCTTTAATTCAATATACTCGAGCAACCTGAGTTCGATCCCCGGTGCCGGCACCAATGAAGTTTTTAACTTTAAGTGCTGACTTATCACATTCTCCGCGGTGAAGGAAAACATCGTGAGGAAATCTGCATATTTACGAAATAATTACAAAAAATATATATTTCGAAGATATTTGAAGGTCGCCAATCCGCAGTGGGGCCGCATGGTGGACTATGCCTTGATACCCTTGAGGAGGCCTTTGCCCAGCAGTGGGACATGTATAGGCTGTTACTTTATATTGCGGTACGAGTTTTTACGCAAGTGCGCTAAGGGATACAAACAGCCCCTCATTTTATTTTACTTACAGCTTCTAAACAAACTATCGGCTTCGGGTAAAGTAAAGTTAATTAATATCTTAATAATAGCAATTAGCAGCAAAATAAAGTATGAAAATAAAATCACACATTTGGACGAATTCAAATTTAAATATCTTTATTCAATATAGAAGCATTACACTAACTTATTGATTGTCAAAACACTACCACCGCCGGTTCGGAAAAGAAAAGCCACTGGCGAACGAAACTTTTCCTAAAACCTTACCTGGTCAAATGAACGCTGCATCGCAAACCTGATAGTTTTAGAACAAGGCTTTATAAATCTCGTTTTGCGGTAACGGAAAGTATCGATAAATAAGTAACATTGTCATTGTGTTAAAACACGTTCCGTTTCACGTTACTTTCAATTCGTAACTGATGTTAAAAATAGGTGTTAATTTAAACAAAAAACCTTTTGTGTTATTTTTATTATTTAGTCACAAGATATTAATAAATATTACACCTACATGATCCCTATTGCGTGAACTGTTCAGGGCTTTATTTTCTTTCAATTAGTGTGATGATAACTCACTACATTGTATAAAACAAAGTCTCCCGCTGTCTGTCTCTCCCTATATGTACTTAGATCTTTAAAACTGAGTCACGGATTTTGATGTGGTTTTCTTTAATAAGAGTGATTCAAGAGGAAGGTTAACACTTGTAGTTCACTCATAATATAGTAGAGAAACACTAATAATTTTTGAGTTTTCTAATGGGATGTCGAAAAGAAACATTCAGAATTGCATCCGTGCAAAGTCGGAGCGGGTCGCTAGTAAATGATAATAGTAACTACAATACAATTAACGTAAGCCTTGCAGTCAATAAATTATACGGAGCCTGTTGTTTTGTTGAGTTCAGTCTATAGCAGTAGAACGAGCAAGTCTGTAATCATCTTTGTCCCTTGCTTAAATTCCATGCTAGTAACGAAGTGAAAGAAATACTTTTAACTGTTATTCGTGCGATTTGATAAGAATCATAGTATACCAGGTATTCATATTACAATTAAAATAATGAGTCATTGATTTAAGTATATTTTTTGACTTCAGAAATCTAATAATGACAAATATTTGCATATTTTTTATATAGTAGAATCCATTTTTGTAATGTACAATGGAACTTTAATTTATTTTTAGGCGGTAAGAAATATATGCCAAGTTATTTTTCACGACGATAATATAGTAAAATAATTTGAAATCTTTTTTATAGAAAATACAAACAAGGTAACGAAGGACTCGAGTTAAGGGGAAAAGGAGTCTAGTGAAATTTAAAAGTGTTAATTAAGTCATTCCGCTGCTAAGGATTGTTGACAGAAATGTTTGGGAAAAACCAAAAACTGGTAAGATTATAGTATTCTTTTTACTTTTTGCGCTCGGCTACGTTTAACAATCTTCTAAGATGTTCCCTATTTAAAAAAAAATCCTTTGTGTAAAGCTTTGAGGTAAAGCCATTATAGCTCATTGTCCGGGCGCTGGCTTTTGATTTAAAATATTGTAATGACTTCAAATCCTGTTGCGGGGCACCAATTAAAGTGTGAATTTTAAGTGCTGCCTTATCACGTGTTCCGCGGTAAAGGAAAATAGCGAAACCTGAATATTTTCAAAAAAATAACGAAAAAAAAAATGTTTCGAAGATATGTGAAGTCCGCCGCAGCGGGACCTGCGAAAACCGTACATCTGTCCCTATCCAGAGGAGGCCTTAGGATGTGTATAGGCCGTCACTTTACTTTCACTCAACTTTTGTAGGTAAATAATTTTCTTTGTTTTAGTTTCAAGATAACATGTTTGGTACTGAGTATTGCTGTTTTCCTGGTCAAAGCGATTTCAAAGAAGACATATCTATTCCAATGGAGGCTGATCTGAATAATGCTACCCCATCACATACGGCCTACCCAAAGCCGTCAGTAAATTTTCACAAGGACGAACTGCAATTTCGTCCACGAAAAGTAAGGTCATTTTCGGTATCTGATTTGAGACAAAACATCGAACCTACCATCGTGACTATTTCAGTAAAAGCAACTCCATCGGTCCCTGCGATTTCGGATACCCGTATTAGTCCTTATTTCGTCATAGTGCTTGACAACCAGGTTTCGAATCAGAATGTTCATCAGCAGCCCGTTGGCCGTCCTGAGGTTTCGGCTAATACGTTGGAAACTGCGAAGCAAAATGATTTTCTGCATCTCGGAGAACGTATAAACCGCGACCATCCCGTGGTGACGGAATCGTGGAAGTCTCAGTTGGAGCAATTGCTGTGTGACGACAATGTAGATAGCTCAAAGCCAAAAAACAAGAAAATAGAGCAAGATACTCAAGCGAAACAGCCCGGGCCTTCATGTATCTCCATATCGTGTAAGAGAAATAAGCATACATGCTGTGATATATTCGATGCTGAAGGCCGGAGGAATATTCATAACTGGTTCTGGAAAACAAATGACCTGCTCACAAAGAAAACATTATGTGAGGGGATTAATAACAATGACAATGGCACGATCGAGAAAACCAGTCGGTGAAATATCTAGAAGGAGAAAAACTTTCTCCTATTTTCTACCAATTGATACGTGCTGCTCGTACAATATTCGGGTATGCAAAAAAATGTTTCTACAAACTCTTTCACTTGCAGCTCACACTGTTGAAGCGTGGTTAAAAAATTAAGTTTGTCATGATTGCAAAACTTGATATAGCTTTGTAACAAAAATTTCACTGTATAACAGGTGATTAGTAAGAAGGTAATTAGTATTTCACCGACTGGTTTTCAGAAGTAAAGCACTTTGATAAATCCTAATCACTGCAATATACGCTGCAATAACGTCGTATTATCTATCTCACATGGCGGTAATTTACAACGTGCATATAAATTTAACATCTTTGCTTTTTTTCAAAAACTACGATAATTACATAGATACTCGTACCTTTCTTCTTTTTAATCATTTTCAATTAAGTTGTTTTTCATCGAGTTAGTTATATATATTCAATACATCTAAATAATATAAGACTATCGGTATATTGAAGATAAAATTTTTAAGATTTCTGTTGCATATTAAATGTCTGTACATACAAAATGTGATAACATACTAAATGTCTGCAACACAGCTTTTTAATGACCAATAATTTGAAATACTTTTATTACATTCTTTTGTTTCACATAAATTTTATTGAGTAATAAAGTTCTTTCTAAGAAAAAGCACTACCTTATATTCCACTAGTTCAAAAAAAAAACTATTTAGCAAGTATAATGAAAATTTTAAAGCCATAATTTTCGTTTAAGATTCGTTTCTTCATTTCTGATTTTTTTTTGTTTCTGATGTTTTCAAATGAGATGAGACATTTTTTGAGACATTCCTCACCTGTTAACTCTAGTTTTGGTCGATGATTTTTTTTATGTGAGAAAGTGCAAACGAGCTGGCGGTTTCACCGCGTTGCCACCTTTAAATAAAGTGGGCCCTGGCTACCTCACTCAACAGACGAAAGGCAGAAGTGTAAAACTTGTACTTTACGACGGTCTTCTGTGAGGTTGTGGTACTTACCCGGATGGACCTGCCCATTCGTGCAACAGTGTTGCGTGGCCCTACCACCCTAAAATTAGAATTATATAAGAACTATTCATCACTTTGCTGTAATTTCGTGATATATTTGTTAAACTATTTTATACCAATCTAAAAATGTACGGGTAATAATAATTTAACTCATTTATTTATCAATAGATTGTTAAAATTACGCGCAGGAGAAAACGTTTCTGTATCAACAATGTATGCTCAATACCTATATTCATATCATTTTAGTAAACAACTGTTCTTCGTATCGAATAGTGGATTACAATTGTTCGTAACTTCAATCTATTTTTAGACTCATTGCACCGAGATTTATCGTAAATACGCAATTTATTATGAACGTAGTACGTTCTGCTGGACAAAGTAGCGCTAATTGGCTAGGAACTAAGATAACACATGTACAAAATTAAAACTATTTCACTACGGAATTACTGTTTGTATGGTTACATAATTTTAAAGGAATGCTATCTAACGTTAAACCATGATATGTATTATTGTTGTTAAAACGTTATATATCATATTTTTTCTTAAATGATTGTGAATTCATATGTGAATTATTTGAAGAGTTGTGTTAATACTTTAGAACGGCGTAAAAGGCGTAGCATGCGTGAACCTAAAATGTCACTAAGAAATTTAATCTAAGAAATGAAATCTTTAAAAAGCTATTACTTACAGTAATAGCTTTTTAATGATTTCATGTTTTATAATTTTAGTCTTTTTCCACTCAATCTGATGTTACAAACCTAAATAATATAAATTGGTTTGTTTTTCTGTGTCAAAGATTGTATTCATATTATATATTGTAATCATAGTCTTAGGTTCATTATAATTTTTTTTATATTACACTGAAATAAATTTTAATCGACTTTTTCGTTTTTTTTTTTTTTTTGGCTTGATGAGCCACTGTTGGCCTTAGGGGCCTTTACAGTTCCGACGGGCTTGAGGTGGCCGGGCGCTCGAGGCGCCTAGCCTGAACCTCGCGTATTTATTATTACGCGTTATGGTGACTAAGCTCGAGGGCTCCCGAAGGAATCTCGGCTCGGGCCGTCACGCTATTTAATTCACCGGTTTGGGAGGCCGCCTAGCTCTAGGGCGCTTTGGCGGGGGCTCCATGGAGTGATCAGGCTCAAGGGTCCCCGAGAGGGGACCTCGGCTTGGGCTGTCACTCAACACGCGTTTAGCATTCCGATTCGAGGGTGCCCGAGAGGGCCGGACCTCGGCTCGATCGGTAGCTGTTAACTGACTGGGGGGATCTCTAGAGCTATCATTACTACCACTTCGTAAAGCGTTGGCGCTGGGAGAAGAAGTGGCGGAAGAAACTCCAGCAACGCTTCTATCTTGAACTCGGGAGAACCTGCCAGGTACGTGGCGGAACCTAGTATATGTTTGCCGCACTCGCCGGCGAGTGCGGTTTGTGTTGGTGTGTTTGCGAAGTTTTTTAATCCTTTCGATGGCGATAGTCGTCTCATCGTCAGGGAAATCGAGACGGTGTCGCGGTCTACGGTGATTGCGGCGGAACGTACCTAGCGGCAGGCGTCTGTAGGTGGCGGCACCTACGATTAGCGGGTTGGGATGCGCGGCGGCGGAATCGAAGTATCGGCGCGACACCGACTTCAGGAATTGAGCGATGGTGGGCAACTCTAAATCGACATGAAGGTCGATATTGCGCATGTACCAGGGTGCTCCCGTGGCTCTGCGCAAAAATCGATTTTGGATGACCTGAAGCCGGTGTATTTGGTTCGGAGCAATGTGTGCGAAGACTGGACTCGCGTATGTCATGATAGGGCGAACTATTGCCTTATATAGATTCACCTTGTTCCGAAGGGACATTTTAGACGTTTTGTTGAGGAGCGGATGGAGGCGACCGAGTACGAAGGCCGCCCGGTTCTTGACCCGAGTCACGTGCTGGTTGAATCTAAGTTGGGAGTCAAGGACGACACCTAAATATTTAACTTTGTTCACCCATGGTACCGGACTATCCATGAGTTTAGCGGGGGGTGGTTTATCTACGTTTTTATGCGAAAAAAGGACGGCCGCGCTCTTGGCGGGATTGATTTCGATCCTCCATTGCCGAAACCAGTCACCGATGGTGATGGCTGCAGCTTGGAGGCGTCGATGGATAATTTCGGATGTTCTGCCTACTGTATAGAGACAGGTGTCGTCGGCAAATAGGGCAAGTTCTACATCTTTGACTCGCGGCATGTCATTGGTGTAGAGCGTAAAAAGGACTGGGCCCAACACCGACCCTTGAGGCACCCCGGCTCAAACGGGATGCGTTGCCGAACACACGCCTTCGACGCGATAGCGAAAGGTCCGATTATTTAGGAAGTCTCGTATTATGCATACGAGACGATCGGGCACTCCGAGCCCGTATAACTTGTATGTGAGCCCGTTGTGCCAGACTTTATCGAAGGCCTTTGCCACGTCCAAGAAGAGTGCTCGGTGTTGAGTCCGCGTTGGCGTTTGACTAGTATGTGCTCCGTGATGCGGTGCACTTGATGGGTACAAGAATGTTTGGCTCTAAAGCCAAACTGTTCAGGGATGGGGAGCCCTTTGGCGTCCATAAGGGATCTTAGTCGGGCTAAAATTAGTCTTTCAAAGATCTTCCCAAATGTTTTGAGAAGACTTATTGGACGATAAGAGGTTGGGAGGGTCGCGGGTTTGTGAGGTTTGAGGAACCCTATTTCGTCAGCTTCTTTCCACTCGGACGGGAAGAAGCCTTCGGTTATAGCCGCGTTGTAAATTAAGACTAGTATCTGAAGGATGCTAGTAGGGAGAAGTTTGGTCACCTTATTGGTGATACCATCTGAGCCAGGCCGCTTTGCGTGGGCGCAGTTTGTTTATTGTTTCTGCGAGTTCCGAACACGTGACCGGGGGAACGGGATCGCGGAGTGGTTCCGATGCTTTCCTTTCGACCTCTTCGTTCACCTTACGGAGGTGATCGGGGTTGGTCGAAAGCAAGCTGGGGGAGCATTGGGCCTCTAGACTGTCAGCTAGGCATTCGGCTGTCTCTTCGTCCAACATTGCTGGCGTTCCTATCGGTGGTACTAGTGGTGGCATGTTTGGAGTGGCTATACCCTTGAGGGTTTTAGGAAGTTTCCAAAAGGCTTGGTGGGATGGTTTTATTGAGACTAAGGTGGAGTCCCACCGTTCGTTTCGTGAGTCTGCTATACGTGTTTTGACTTCACGTTGTAATTTACGTAGCAGTCTACGATTCGAGTCGGTGGGATATCTATCGTAGGCGCGTGTGGCCGCATTCTTGCGCCTCAGTAAGTCTTGTACATCGTCTGGTAGGGCCCAGCGATGGTCGTCCATCGCTGGAACCTGTCTCGAGCATTGCTCGACGACGGTGTTGACGTGACTCGTGAGGGCCCGAATTGCGGTCTCCGTGTCCTGTT